ATTGTAATTCATTAAGTTTTATTGTTAAAGGAATTCGAAATAATATTGCAAGTGAAGTAGGCTATTTTTCCTTTATTGTTTTTTTTTTTTTTTTTTGATATTGAACGAGATTTAACAGTAAATGTTTATTCGATTATTCAATTATTCAATGATCCGTTCAGTTAATGGAGCATGGAAACATTATATTGAAAAAATGTAAACAGTTAGTTCCTGATATCAAAGAATTATTTAGATCATTATTGCTTTCGATTGACGATGATGAAAAAATGGAATTTTGTGATTCTTTGCTTACACAAGTGACAGCAATTAAAAATGAAAAAAACGATGAAGATTTTTTAGCCTGGTAAGAAGTTTTATCATTTAAATAAATATATCATATTTTTAAATAACAAGTTATTCGTTTATATTGATTAGAATATTATTATTATTATTTGAAAAAAGTTTGATGCCACGTATAAAATTATTTGTTTTAGTTATACACATCTTAACAGCTCGTGTAGCGGCAACATCGACTCAGGAGGCTTGTCAAAAAATGAAAGAATACAAATTAATAGAAAAATGGACTATATTACTATTAAGCTTGTTATGTGACGTTAGAGTACATCGTAATGGTGGCGGCGCAAAGAATTTTGAATCGATATTGGATGTTGTTTCATTTTTGTTAGACGGTGAGTTATAATATAATTAGATATAATTATCAAAAAAAACTAATCATCGTCATCATTATTATATATTTATTTTTAGAAATGGGTAAAAATGCAAGGTTATTGATTGTTGCTGAATTAAGGGCAAGTTTATTATTTTTATTTTTATTATTATTATTATTTAGCCTTTATCATAAAAAAATCAATTGATTTTGTTAATTAATATTGCAAAAATTTTTTTTAATATAATAGAGAACACATATACACACATTCCAAATACCAATAACATGGGGTGATAGGATAAAACGAGTATTGCCATTGCCTGCGACCCAAAAAACCGTGGGCAGTGGTAAGAGAAAATTTACAATAAGTGATTGCCGGAATTTATACGAAAGAGTTGATGACGATTCTGGTATAAACAATTCTTATATTGATCTTAAAATTTACGGAGCAAAAATATATAAAAGGCCAAGAATTCGATTTGAAAAGGAAGAAGAATTAGGAAATGATGATTTAGTAAAATTTAGTAATGATTCCATGATTTACGAGTATACCAATAACAGCGAAATACATTTATAATTTATTTAATTTTATTTTATTAATTTTTAATTTAAAAAAACATAATCTCGTTAATAAAATTTTTCTATTTATTTTTCAAAATGCTTTCTTCGCCAATATCGCAATGGAATGATATAACAGATTTACATTGCCAGAACGTCCTTTTTTGGCATAATCCCCTCCATTTGCTGTAAAAATAGTTGTTCGAGGAAACAATGCTAACGACATGTCTTATATTCCCATGAAAAGTTTTTTTGAGATTCTTATAAATGGCAGTGTCAGAACCATCTTTTACACACAAAAGAACCGACTTCTCCTGTATAGTTCAAATAATAGCTACAAATAAGAAAATGACAATAATTCCAGAACAAACAGAAACCAAAAAAGATAGACGGTAGGTTCTATTAAACTATTACATAAATGTTGGGTATTTGATTGAACTGACTTTGCTTTTTTATTATTATATTAAACGAACGATATAATGGTGACAATGTTGCCCTGCTCCTTCTTGACTCTTAATTTCTTAACAAAATATTCACATCCGAGTATTTCAAAATGATCGAGAATTATGATAACACAATGATAAAAGACGATGAAGACGACTCCCCCAAAAAAATAATTTTGAATAAACAATATTTTCAATTTTTTTTTCAGAATATTTTATCTATTATGAGGAGATAAAAATCGTTAATAAAACTTTATTTTTATTTCTTTAGGAAATATCAAGCCGAATCAATCAATATAAATCAATCGACATTACATTTTTTGATTTCTTGGCTCGATTCTAAAACATTGTGAAAAATCCATCCCTAGGATTATAAGTTTTCCGAAACAAGTAATGATAGTGACAATAATTACGCTATTAATTGTCCAAATATTGTAATCATTCTTCATGGCAATTTTTCCACCATACCATATTCAGTCTTATAATTTTTGGCAATTGGTGTTTCAAGGTCGTTAATAAAATCAATTAAATTTGGTGCCTTTTGTGATCATAATTAACAATTTACTATTAATAGCGATTAATTATAAGTTAAGTAATAATTATTAACAATTTGAAGATTTTATAACCATGGTTGACATTTCTATGTAGTTTGATGTGATTTTTAAATGCGAAGGGATGTCTTTAGGAAAATGTACAAGTACATGGTGAAGTTGTGAGTATAATTTTTAAATGTTTTAAATGTAAAGAATATTCTTTGAATGCAATTTTTTATTTTTAGCAAAATGTATAGTTGTTTTATAGAAAATTTTCGATAAAATTTATGCAAGATTTATTTCCCGATGTTTATTATATATTAATATTAATATAGTCTGGCGTACAAACCTTTTTTTTAACGTTTCTAATTGTTTTATCCTAAAGAAAATCGGAAATGGAATTTCTATCATCATCATAGAAGTTCTTTAAACGGATTCGCTTTACCAGTCAAACAAGTTTTAGTTTTAATATGAAAAAATATTATTTTTGGAATTCAAATACAAGCTTTTTTGTATATAATAAGAAACGTCGACGATAAAACAATGGGCCAAAGATTACAAACAAGCCTTTTTTTCTTGTTGACTACTAGATAAATATTCGTATTGGCATAATCACTGTATAAAATTGTTATGGAGAGAACCATTTTGAATCAAAAGGCAAGCGTTAAAATATTGATAAACTGTTTAAAGCACTATCAAAACCCGGCACTCTTTTAAGAGAAGATGACGTTCGAATTGTTAAAAACAGATCAAACAAAACCTCTGCACAATTATGCAGCATTCGCTAAAAGATTTGTCATTTTTTGAGGGATATTTGTAACTAGTAGAAGGAGAAAATATTAAAACGATTGATATTATTAAAGTTTGCAAAGATCGAAAAGGTTTATTTAGGTGATTTAATCCCTTATCTACCAAATAGTTTTCATAGAGATCAATTTGAAAATATCAAAGAATTGCATTATGTTAATACAGATTCGTCTGGATTATTGAATAATTTGTTGGATTGTTAATAAAATTGAAAAATTAAGTGTTGAAATAAACGGGTCCTCGATCGAGAGCAAATACACAATTGAAATCCTGATAAAGTAAAAACTCTGTAAAAGTCATCGCAATAAACTTTTTAAAAATAGAAACGTAGTTTTTACGTTTAGAGCGATGCGCTTTGGTAAAAAGGTAACAGTTTGTGGAGAATTGGTAAAAAGGCAAGTTTTATTATCATTGTCCAAAGGATAATTGGAAATACTGACTGGTTATTACGGACGTAAAGGTATTGAACAGTCTGCCGCTCAAGTTGATTTGTAAATAAACCAATGCGAGCTTGCAAACGGCCAAAGAAATATAAACAAGGGTAAACGTAAACGACTGAAATCAATTGGTCACAAGTAAATAAAAAGGAACTTTACAGAAGCTTTTGAGCTTTGTAATAGAGCCAACAATACCTACCAGATTCGCCGAAGATTTCTAGGTATCAAGAAAGAGGCAGTGGGCGAGACCCAAAGTAAATCGGCAATTGTTGTCATTGGCATTTAATTTGATTTATAATGACTTGCGGTTAGCTCCAGATACTCTTAAAATACAATAGATGCTACCGCTATTAATAAAGAGACGATGATTATCGTTATTTAATTAACAATTATTAATAAAGGCGTGAAGAAAATTTCTAATTTCGGAATAAAATTTTAAAGATCTTGTTTTTCTTATTTGTGAAAGCCTTTTAAAAAAAGGAAATCTTTTTCAGGCCGTTTTTTTTATATTTATTTATTAAATAATTATAAATATTTATATTTAAATATTAATATAAATAAATGTAAACGAATAAATCGATCACAAGTGAATAAAAGGAACTTTATAGAACTTGAGCTTTGTAAAAGGGCATCTTTATTTATTTACAATTATCTGATACTATTGAGTGTGCGCTCACAGACTCGTCCAGGTGCAAAAGTGAGGAAACTAAAGTAAATTTGTGAGCTGATTAATTGACAAGCACCAAATTGGTCTTTTTGATGGATCCACATCCCAACACTTCTGCATCATTTGCACATAATCATCAGGCATTTCAGGTAATATTGGTGGTCGTAA